GGGAGCAGTCCCTAAGCCAGTTAGCCACCCACCTGACTGTGTAGGCATCCCCTCCACAGCCTGCTAGCTTCCCTATGAGAATAGGATGCAAAACTGTGTCGAAGGCCTTCCTAAAATCCAGGTAGATGACATCAGCCTCAGCTCCTATGTCAAGGCAGTGTGTGACCTGGTCATAAAAGTCTATAAGGTTTGTCAGGCAGAATCTACCTGTGACAAACCCATGCTGGTTTCCTTTCAGCATCATTTCCCCTGCTGGGCATTCACAAATGCGCTCTTTGATTATTTTTTCCAGTATTTTCCCAGGGATAGAGGTAAGACCGACTGGCCTAAAGTAACCCGGCTCATCCCTTGCCCGCTTCTTAAAAATGGGTACCACGTTGGCCCTTTTCCAGGATCTGGCTGGAGCACCAAGAGCTTTACTCTTCTTAGTATAGCCAACCTCAACTTTTAATGTTTCCAGTTCAGCAGCTAATGCAAAGATCTAGCTTGGAAATCTCTACACAGCACAAATAAACTGTCACAAAAGGAGACTGACAATCTTGTGGTAAATTGGTACTAGTATTACAGTACCTAGCTGAAGTTTCTAAACACTATCATTTTCTCTGCTAAGGCTAGAAATAGATGTTGCCAAATGAAGTGAATCAGCTACAACAGGACAAGTCCCAGCACAGCTGATCCATTTCACTGGGTGAAACACATCACCCGTTGATCTTACAGGACAATGGATGACGTGAAGCTCCCAGGGGACATCTGTAAGTAGGGAAACCTTGGCTTTCTCTGCTTAGTGACATGCTCCAGAGTCCTCCACCAGAGTGAGTTGGACACTCCAATGTGGTCCCAGGGCTAAGGCCAGCAATCAGCTGCAATCAGATGAATGGCACTCCCAGGCCTGGGACCACACTAGAGTGCTTGACAGGTGTCCAGGAAATCCCAAATGGGGAAACCCGGGCAGGCACTCCCTGGACTTCAGGGGCCTGTTACTATGCACCTCAGAAATGGGAATTCCCAGATTGTGCAGGATGGGGTCCTGACATCCCTATATTGCCTGCTCAGAGTGGCTGTAGTGCATGGGCAGCTCCAAGCTGACCACACAGTCCTATCATAAAAGACATTTGCTGCAACAAGTGGCACAAATTGATACCACCTCTGTTGCAACTGCAAATTTTGGCCATCAGTGGCACAATAAGGGGTACAGACATCTGTTTGCTTGGCTGTTGTGCCACCATAATTTTTTTTATGGCAGCACAAAGGTGATACCTGTGTCCACATTCTTATAGTCACACAACAATGAAGCAACTACTGTTCTTATTGACAACTAAATTTTCTCTGTGTTTTTCACTGAATTAATAACTTTTGCTAGGATTTATACCAACATACAGTTCAAGCTGAAACATCTTCTAGAGTCAGAAAATTCTTCAGGGGGCCCATATCAGCCTACTTCCCTGTCTTCCTTTTGGGCATAATTTATTACATTTTTTAACTAAACGTTTTTGCAGAAAAGTCCTATATGTAACAATAGAGAGACTTGTAGTAAATGGTATACATGAAACACCCCCAAAACTTTTATTAAAGAGGCATCAGAGCGAAGCTATGTCAACTAGCAAGAAGTTATAGGAAAGAATTAATAGGTGCAATACAAAATAACAGTTTTGCCTGCCCAAATCCAGAAGTTCTTAGGAGTTTGAGGTGAAAAAGAAGGTGAGGTAAACGGTCATCCTCCCCCATGGCATATAAACAGAAGTAGTAATGCTGGTGTTAAAATGCAAAAATTAATAAATACATTAAAACTTTGTTTAGGGTGTTTAACTTAATTAGCTAAAAGTAAGGAAAAAAAGTCCTTTGCAAGAAGAAAATAAAACCTCAAGAGGAAAAAAAATGCATAAGCCAATTCTTCCTACCATTTTCATATCCAGTCATAACCCTACCACTGCTGTGCTTCTCTCCAAAAAAAGTGTGATTAATGCCCAACACACACCCACCCCACTTTCCAATCTTCCTAAATATGGAAAAAAGAAAGGAAGTGAGAATAGTCAGAAATGGGTAACAGGATTTAGGACATTAGAAAATTACAAACTGAAGTCAGTATTAGAAAAATAAAAATATATTCCATGGCTTCTCATTTTTCCTTCTATTCTTGATAGTTCCATCGTAATAATAGCCAAGTACCTCTGGAAATAATTTAAACTTAAGATACCTGAGGGGGTGTTGGGAATATCTCATGCCAAAACTGGTAACCACAGTACAGATGAGTTAAATGATTTGTCCAGTGTTACTTAGGAGGCCTACCATGGAATAGGAGTTTAATACAGGCCCTTGAGACCCATACCACACACATTTTTTATTCAAAATCAGCCTTCTAAAATTGGGGCATGTGCCTTAAGTGAGGAAATAGATTTTTCTTTGCTGTAATAGACGCTTCCAGACATCATGCTCCAATGCAAGGGTGGGCAAAATACAGCCTGTGGGCACTTTGTCCGGCCCACAGCAAGTCCATGAGTCCCACCTAGCCCAGGTGCCATCTGACCTGTGGCCCATCCTGCCTCCCCCTGGGCATGCAGTGGGGCTGGGGCAGCCCCGCAGCTGGACTGCCTTTCTAGGCAGCTCAGGCAGCAGCAGCTCTTTCTGGCTGCCACCACCTCTGTTCCTAGCCCCATGGTACTGGCAAGGACCTGTGGACACAGCACCAACCCCTTCCAACTCCATACCCAATGCAGACCGGGCCCAGTAAAGTGGACCAGCTCCAGATCAGACAGAACCTGCACATACAACCCCAAATCTGGCCTGCCCCACGCCTGCTCCCGACTCGCCCACCATGCTAAGCAGTGGTAGCAGCAGCAACCGCCAGGCAGAAGCTGCTGCTCAGTGCAGGGGAAAAGTGGGTCCTTCCCTTCATCACTGCTGGGCCCTTCTTGTTGAAACCCCCTGGAGCCCATGCCCAGACT